GTGAACATTAGTGTACAAGTTTGTTTGTGTCTCTGCTTTCAATTCATTTGGATATATACTTAGGAGTGGAATTGCTGGGTCATATGATAATTCTATGTGGATAAAACTTTTTGAGGAACCACAAAACTGTTTTCCACAGATACTGAACTATTTTACATTAACTGATTAAAAAATTATTTTAAAGAAAAAGAGAATATAGATTGAATCAATTTAATTAAATAAATTTCACAGTGAATACTTATGCAGCTGCTCATAAATGAAGTAGCTATGATTAGATCCATAACTTAGTAAAGGAAAAGGCAGTATATATACTCCCATGTTTCTACAATGCATAGATATAGATATACATACGTTTGTAAATCCATCACTTGTCTGTCAGTTTGTCGCACTGTGGTGGCTTGCGTGTTGCTGTGAGGCTGGAGGCTATGCCACCAGTATTTCAGATACTAGCAGGGCTGCACATGGTGGACAGGTTTCAGCAGAGCTTCCAGACTAAGACAGACTTGGAAATAGGAAGAGGCCATTCACTTCTCAAAGAATTGGCCAGTGAAAACTTTATGAATAGCAGTGAAGCACTGTCTGATATATTACTGGAAAGCATTATGAATAGCCCTGAAACACCGTCTCATATAGTGCCGGAAGATGAGCCCTTCAGGTTGGAAGACACTCAAAATATGACTGGGAAAGAGTTGCCGCCTCAGAATAGAGCCAACCTTAATAATGTGGATAGAGTAAAGCTTTAGGGACCTCCATTTGCTGATGTGGCATGACTCAAAATAAGAAGAAACAGCTGCAAACATCCATTAATAATCAGAACATGGAATGTACAAAGTATGACTCTAGGAAAGTTGGAACTTGCCAAAAATGAAATGGAATGCATAAAGGTCAATATCCTAAGCATTAGTGAGCTGAAATGGACTCGTTTTTGCCATTTGAATCATATGATCTACTAAGCCAGGAATGACAAATTGAAGAGGAATGGTGTGGCATTCATCGTCACAAAGAATGATTCACGATCTCTCCTGAAGGAGTCAAGATCTGGGTACTAACTACTCCTAACTCTTTGCACTGGTGCTTTGCAATAAGTAATTTTCTCTCCTCTCAATCTCGGTGTGTAAACTGTTTTGACCTGACTGCACCGCGGACAGAGACCCGCGTTTGGTCCAATAACAATTTCGTACCCCAGGTGGGACCGAGGATCTCTGGCCCTCTGCCCAGAGCACGAGAACCCTCAGATGGTGGAAGCGGAACGGACTCCTGACAGACCTTGTGCACACTCAGACACTGCTTTGTCTGAAGGTACGTGAGGGTTGCAGGGTCTGCGACCGTCTGCAGCATCCTTGGCCTCTAGGCCCTTTCGAGAGAAGAGAAAATTATTCTGGGTTTAAAGACGTCTACTGGTACATACCTATCTTCAAACCTCCAGAATTACAGGCTACTCTACGGATACCCCTAGTCTCTTCTCCCCGGGATTATAGCCAGAAGATTCCATGAACTGTCCAAACTGCAAGAAGCTTACTGACCAGGGATTGAATTCCACCATCTTCGACCCCAGTCAGCAGGAAGCAGCTAGGATGAGTCGTCGCCCCATTTCCCAAAATTGTGGGACAGTAACCATTCTAAGGGGGAATTAGAAAACCGAGTAAAGTGTTACCCAAGAATGTGGAACAGTATCTATTAAGGGGGAATTGAAACCCAGTGCTATTTCCCCTACCCTGGCACCTGGATGGGAATAGATAGGTAGACTGGATTACCCCCAACTATTTCCCCCACCCTGGTTAATACAGATAATTAGATAAGACCCCCACAGGGGAATAAGTAAACTGGATTACCCCAAACTATTTTCCCACCCAGGCAGATGAGTATTCAGTTCCTTAAAGAACTGAATGGAAAACATTCCTTCCTGCAGATGATAGACTTGCTAAAAGTATTTTAGAAATAACTTGTAAATTAACTCTGGCCA